GTTACTAGAAGCAAAGATTTTATTTTACACTTGAGCTAAAATTGACCCTTTAAAATTTTTTAAAAACTATTTTAAGGCACCGACTGTTAAAATACTTAAAGACCTGTCTTGAGGTTTATAAATTTTTATTAAGCTAAATACCACTAAAAGACTGAGATCCCTCCCTCCTCTGCCTCTCTGGATCAATCAACAAGCAAGTATATAGATTAAAAAACTAAGTAGCAAGGTGAGTTTTCATACTCAGTGAAACAGAAAGCAAACCATCCCCTCCTTAGGTCAACAGATTGAAAAACAGGTGTGGAAGAATTCAGTGCAGTTTTTACCCACAACCCCTCCCTCCCAGGTGTCCTAACAGAAACAGGTTCCTATAAAACAAATCATCTTCTATATAATAAAAGCCTAAGCTACCTGATATGGTGGAAGGACCAGAACCAGTGGCTATGATGCACACTGACCACTAGGGGGCAGACACTCAACACAGGAGGTGGGTTCACAGCTGGGGAGCTCAGCATTGGTAGCTGGAGCCTCTCCTGCCTCTGGCAGTGCTAAGGAGCAGCAAGCTGAGCAATAAGCAGCAGTGAGCAGGCAGGCAGTAAGGCGCAAGGGCAGGCAGACATCTCCCAATACCGGACTGGGAGAGGGTGCAGGCCCGGCTGAGGGACTCCCCCGTCCCCCCCCCCCCACACACACACACACACACTTCACGCACCAGACCTCTAGTTTTAATTAAAGAGACAAACTTTCCGGTTCATGTGCACATGCACGTGAATGGCTCTGAGGAATGAAAACCTGTTTTGTAAACTTACTATGTCATAATGCTATATATGTTGAGCATATAATGTATTAGCTTCCTGAAAAGATAAATCAGTGTTTTGCAGAACACATTGTAGAAAACAATTCCAATGGTCCTGTAGATTCCACCATTGAAGACAGTGCAGGCTCTTCCAAACTATCTTCCCTTCTTTTGCCTTTATCCTAAAAGCTTGAGAATCAGTGTGAGCTGTGACATCCGTGTGGCATTGCGGTTTTCGTCGCCCCTTTCTTTAAAGCCACATTATAAACAAAACTTTTGCAACATTAGATATGTAAATGGGAGCTGGCTTCCTAATACTGATTATATGAAAATACCAGAATCCTTCCATCCACTTGGTAAACAGGTTACAAATTGGGAATATATCTCTTTGAGGGCTCATTCCTAAGTCACATTTTTTTATTTCCATATGAAGACAACTAATGCCAACTAGCCTCTGGCTTCCTAAAACTGGCAGGACCAACATAAATAAATACTTTAGTGGGAATACAATCTGCTTAGACAACAAAGACAGGACATTCCTAACTGGCAAGCCTCCCTTTTACAATTATCCCCATTCTTGTAAATCTCAAGGTGGAAACCTCACTATAAATTACAAAGCTACTATTCCCCTCTTTAAGAAGAACATATATAGCTAAAGAAAAACTGCATATGCAAATCATTCTATATTCACTTTTTTTTTTATTTAACTTGGGGATGGAATGGGAATAGCATACATTTTATTTGTACAATATTTAACAATCACTTATCCAAGGTGGGGTTTAATGGGGCTATTTCTTTTTTTTTTTTTTTAGCTTTTTGTTAAATACTTGCAGAAAAAACAGCAAGTACAATTCGACAGTAGTACAACAACCTGTGCCCAAAACAGTGACAAGAAATACAGAGTAAAGCTAAATAATTGCTTTCCAATATTTTGAGAAGTAACAAATAGGATATGGGTTTAGACTGCATAAAAAATGTACTGCTGGTTGAATATCTGAGGTAAATGATGTTCAATCAAAATGCTACTTGTATCATTTTGCCCATAAATCGGTAAATAATTTTATGCACGTTATACCAAATGTTCCTAAAAAGTAATTTTTTAGAAAGGTAAAAAAGAGAAACTGGAAAATATCTATGGTGAAGCAGTTTCTTTAAAACAGTAATCAGTTTATCCCACCAAAGTATCATCTGACCAGGGGTTTCCCCCACAGCAGCTGCATTTTACTTAAATGCAGTTGTTATGTAGGGATAAGGAAAAGGGGAAGAAGATTTTTTTACTTTGATGATATATGATTCTATTTAAATTCCAAGTTTATTGGGGTTGTTTCCCAATTGTATTTTCAAAACCATCACCATGAAAGATAGTTCATGGTGCCAACAATTGTGAGGCACAGTCTGTTCTAGAATTCACAAGGTACCTGTCATAAACACTCAAACAAGAATCACACATCACATGCTGAAAACTTCCTAGCATCTAAAATACATACAAGAGCTGTGCAGGGTATTGACTTCGAATAAAGCCAAATACCGGTTAATCCATCAGTCCTATGGCAGTTGATCATAAAGCGTTCTTTAGATGAAGATCTGGGCAAGGTAAAGAGTATGAGTTAGAGCAGCAGTGTGATGGGTATCAGGCAAAATACAAGACGAATCATCAGGAGCACCATACACATGAGGAAAAAAAGTATTGGGATCCATTTACCCCAAAACAAAGTTATCATTTTTTCATTCTTTGATCTTTCTTTTTTTAGTATCACCAGCTCAAACGTTTTGTTGACTTGCCCACTCTGCCCCGACTGTAAACCAAAGATGAAAATGCCCGGCAAAAGAAAGTTCTAAATGAGACTGGATATCAGGACAAGGTAGTCACCAGAACATTCTTACATAACTGCTTATAAAAAGTTTTTCTAATAATAACGTTCTCAAGAGGATACAAGCTTTAAAATTGGTTAAGTACAACACCCAGATTTCTAAAAAAAAAAAAAAATTCTAACTTACAATAGAAAAATTTATCTTGTGAATAACTGGTCTTATAAAATTTATCCCTAAGTACCCACATAAGACAAATAATCATAATATTCCTCTTGTTTTAGATTTTTAACTTTAAAAATCAGGATTAAATGTTTAGAACAGATGTAAATTAGTCTTCAGGAGATTAACAATTTTCTTGTGTGAACATTCTGATTATTTTCCTTTCTTGATTAGTTTCAAAGTGGAAGCAAAACCATATCAAGAAATTGATAGGCAAAGTACTTTTTTTAACTAAAGAGGTGAACTCAACATTGAAATGGGAATAAAATGACATGACAACTTGGGCACATGATGTGACCGAGAGAATGTTCTAGATGGTGTGTGGCACACAGGCAACAATGCTATTACTCTTTTTTCCCTCCCTGCTTAGTTCGTTGACCTATTTATTAATTTTAAATAATATAACTTATTATTCCCAGAGATTAAGTGCATATTCTATGTAAAATGTAGTGTACTGTGTGGTTAAAGAGCCATTTTAAGATAACACATTCACAGTGAGCGCCAGACAGTGACATGTAAAAAATTATTTTATAAAGTTAATGTATGGATTTTAAAATGACCTGACAAAAAGTACATAGCATACATAATACTGGTGGTCAGTAATCTAGAAACTCAGGAAATTAATGTTTTACTGTGGCCTGAATAATTTGAGAAAGAATCCAATGATATTCTAATGGTATACTGTTTTGAAAAGCACTTTGAAGCCTACCATCAATTTCATTTTCTTATCAAGGATAAGGAATGAACTATCTTAATATCAGAGTCAGTTGTGAGAGCAATTTGCAAGAGGAGACGGCTCTATGTGACCTATTTTCAATATTGGTTACCTCTAAATGTCATTGCATATTTTAAGTTATAGGTTTAACTTGTTATCCCTGATTTGTTTTAAAATGGTAACATCTGAAATCTGTGCTTAAAATATACAGTCTCTATCCTAGGATAATTCTTTACATATCACAGACATCAAATATTACTCTGACAAGATGGCACCAAGCAGAAATATGGTGATAAACTTACAAGTCTCAAAGCAGAGAGTGAGGAATTCTGGGTAATGACACTTCCTGAGGTGATCCTAAAACAGTGATAAAGAATGTCCCACACACTGTTTGGTAAAAAGAAATACACTACAATTTTACATATATAAATAGGAAGAAAAAAAAAATCTATTTTAAAAGAATAAAAATGAAGAGCTATCCAGTGTCACAGCTCACTTAAAAATTTTTAAATCATGCTTTAAATTTTCAAATATTCCCCCAAACACAGCACACCTAAAAAAAAATACTTAGGTAAAAATGCAATATTTTGGGAACTGGATATAAGATGAAGCTTTAAAACATGGGGAGAAGAGGGAATACCACCATTTTTCATTTCAAAGAACAGCACTTTTTTCCTTAAACTACAAGCTAGCACGAAAAAAGCTGAAACACTGCTTTATGAATGGCCACTCACTGTTGGCACTGAGCATAGCTTACCTTTTTTCTTAAATAACACAGTGAATTTGTAATACCTTGTTACAAAACATGGATCAATTTATTATGCAAATTTTGTTAGTGTTTTCAATTATATAATTTAGCAACCGTGGAACTGAGGTATACCTTGTTGAGGGAGGTTAAAGTAATGCTTGGAAGCCTCTTTACTGTACCCCACTTTGATGACTGTTTATGTACACAGAACAGCAGCACACTAAACATTCACAAGCTGTGTCATATTGGCATTACAATAGTCATTTATAGAAACACAACAGCAAATGCAATAAAAACAAGTTACCCTTTTTAAAATCTGAAATGAAAAGTTTCTGATTTAAAAAAAAATACCAGTAGTTCATTTAAGGAATTAGTGTCTTCTGACAGACATTAGAAATCTGAAGTCAGTTTCAAACACTTGATTAGCCAGGTCCAAAGAGCCTTGATTTGGAGGGCCACATTCTTCATGTACACTTTCTCAAAAGTTTATTACAGAGTTAAATGCTTCTCTTTGTCGCGTCCTTTCACGCCTCTGCTACAGGCAGTGTCGTAAGTCTCCCAGAGCCACAGTTTGAAGCGAGGGAGGGTCTTCTTTTAGACGTCTCCAGGAGACCCCCTGCTCATTTCACACAGAAAATACACTAAGCAATTTCGTTAGCTTAGCAGCTCCAGTTCACAGTCCTGTTTCTCAATGTGTACACATGGTGCAACCATCATAGACTAGATTCTTTGGGAGGAAAGTCAACATTTGTCACCATTGTGACCACTGTTACAATGTCCTCTGTGGTAATGATATTTGTTAGTCTCTGCATCTGAGTAATTCTTTCCCCTACACATCCAGCTGATAACCTGGCTTCTGCATCATGATCCCAACATTCTTCTATCGTTTCACAGAGCATTGCCATTCCCTAGAAAGGAAAAACATAGTCAAAAACCATGGCAATTTTTGTTTTCTATTGGGAAATAGAGTAAAACTTCCATAAACAAATTGCTATTTTTGTGGATCAAAGAAAGTGTCAAGATTAACCAAATTTGCTATTATTTGTCAGTGTTCATTTTTTAGTATCTACTGTATACAGGGCATGTTAAGAATAAGAGAAGCAGCCCTGGCTGGCTTGGCTCGGTGGATAAAGCATCGGCCTGTGGACTGAAGGGTCCCAAGTTCGACTCCAGCCAAGGGCACGTGCCCGGGTTGCTGGCTCGGTCCCCAGTGGGGTCATGAGGAGACGGCCAATCAGTGATTCTTTCTCATCACTGATAGTTCCTCCCTCCCTCCCTTCCTCTGAAATCAATAAAAATATATTTTAAAAAAAGAATAAGCGAAGCACTGAAAAATTTTTTTAGCATTGCAGATTATCAGAGTAGATGAATTTTTTTCAATTCCAAAAATTGCTATCCATTGTTCATAATCCGAGTCATTTTAGTGTAACCCTTGAACTGGATTCAAGACCAAGGCTATAGGACAGTGGTTCTCAACCTTTCTAATGCCATGACCCTTTAATACAGCTCCTCATGTTGTAGTGACCCCCAACCATAAAATGATTTTCATTGCTGCTTCATAACTAATTTTGCTACTGTTATGAATCGTAATGTAAATATCTGTTTTCTGATGGTCTTAGGCGGCCCTGCTAGCGGTTCTCAACCTGTGGGGTCGCTAAGTTACAGTTATGAAGTAGCAACAAAAATAATTTTATGGTTGGGAGTCACTACAACATGAGGAACTGTATTAAAGGGTGAAAGCATTAGAAAGGTTGAGAACCACTGCTACAAGAGGTCTACATTAACAATCAGCATTTCTATCTTGCTATTAGAAAGCAATTCCTGCCGAAACCAGTTTGGCTCAATGAAAAGCGTTGGCTTGGGGACTGAAGGGTCCCGGGTTCGATTCTGGTCAAGGGCATGTACCTTGGTTGCGGGCACATCCCCAGTAGGGGATGTGCAAGAGGCAGCTGACTGATGACTCACTCTCATCGATGTTTCATCTCTCTCCCTTCCTCTCTGTAAAAAATCAATAAAATATATTTAAAAAAAACAAAACAAAACAAAAAAAAAACCGAGAATGCTTAACTTGATTTTATTTATGATCCTGGTTTTATCTATACCAAAATAACCACGACAATACTGTCTCATCCTGTGCCCACCTAGACTCTAGTTCAGAGCATCCTTAAGAATTTGAAAACCTTGGAACCAAGGAGAGAACTGGGTGTTTCTTTATCCCCCCTGTGAGCGCACAATCTTCGTTTCTAGAACACAGTATTCTGATGAAGATCACCTAGAAATGTGCAGAGGTGTAAATCATTCCTCTGCAAAGCATTTTATTGGGATTTCATGTGACAAGCTAACTGCGTGACTTACAGCGTGCTTCTGCCAATAATCTCTTAAAACGGGCCTCTTTTTTTTATGCACAACAACTTCCTGCATGTCTTCAAGAGATGGATGCTGGCCGATCTCTTCCTCAAATGGCAGCATGTACTCATCTACAGGTCCTAAAGTGTAAATAAAAGGGGGGAAATCTTTTAATTCAAATTTCCCTGACTTCCAAAGGGAACAAACTTTAGAACACTATCACATTTCCCAGCTGTTACATGCTACAATGAGAGCAGCATTCTCAACCAGACTGACAGTGTGACCCAAACTCCAGCTTAGGGGAAGTCAGGAGTCTGACTTGGTATGTGACTTTGCAAAGGCCTGTAAGGAGCTTTCTTAACCCCTATGTGAGTACTGGTTATCGCCATAGGTATGTACGTAGGACACAGGAAACCACCGATAGTTGAAAATCGCTCTCGGGTACCCCCTCCTCTTGCAGTTCAGACCAGTGGAGCTGTAAGCAGTAGTGCTGCCATTGCTGAAGCCTGGGTTCAGTCTGTTACAACCATCTCTAAATATGAAACCTCAGACTCCCAACACATCAGGGCTCTGTACTTCAGAGTCTGCCTCCTCTGCCCTCACAAGAGCTGACAAAAATACATTGTTTTTCAAATCACAAACACTCCACACAAGGTTGCCAACAATTCAGAATGTGCTTTCACAGATAAGCAATATTTCTTCAGTATATAAGTGTTTCCTGGCTTCTTAGACATACTCAAACAGGAAAACGTAGTCAGGAGTTAATAACTAATATCTGATGCACTTTTCTCCTGATCAGAAACTTTACATATATTATTTATTTCCATTTTACTTTTACAGACTGGAGATCAGATTACATCTATTTTACAAATAAGAAGGAAGCTCAGAAAAGTTCCCTAATTTGCATACAGCTCTTAAGTGTAGAGTTGGTAAATGAATCCATGTGAATGACTAAAGTCTGTGCTTTCTCCCCTTGACAGAAGCCTGTCATCAGTCAGCAATTTCAGTGTCCAGCTGTGTCTGTACGTAGCATAAACCCTGTACAAGCTCTTTAAATGCACTAAATCCTCCTGAAAAGAATATAAGTCCAACAATAAGTCATAAAGAAAGGCATCTAACCCCACCCTCTCTAAAAGTGAGCACTTCTGATGCCTGGTCACAGCCTCCCTTGGAACACCTGCAGTGTCACGCTAAGGCGTCTATTCCACCCCTCCTCAGAGTGTGGTACAGAGGGCGGCAGCATGGCCTGACCTAGTACACCTTGTAACCTGTAAATATCAGGCCCAACCCAGACCTCCAGTCAGAATCTGAGTCAACAAGACCCCCAGGGGTTTGGAAACTCATTAGTTTGAGAATCACTGAACTGAATCAACAATTAGATAACAAGAAATTTTAAAGCACTCACTTAAGCAATATCCACACTATCCTCTGCCCCGTTTCTGCCTAAGGTTTAGAGATGCCTAACTGGCCGTGGTAGAGCGTCAGTCTGCGGACTGCAAGGTCCCAGGTTTGATTCCAGTCAGGGGCATGTACGTTGGTTGCGGGCACATCCCCGGTGGGGGGTGTGCAAGAGGCAGCTGGTTGATGTTTCGCTCTCATCAACGTTTCTAGCTCTCTATCTCTCTCCCTTCCTCTCTGTAAAAAAATCAATAAAATATATATTAAAAAAAAGAAAAAAGAAATACCTAACTGCAATTCGGTACTTTTCAGCACATGCCAGGCATTCACCCTTTTCCATAAAAGTGTCTCTGGCAAATCCTTCTCCCAGTAATAGCCATTTCCTCAGTGTAAACTCCCATAGCACTTCCTTACATTCAGTTCTCAGGTGTTACATTTATCCAAAAATATTTACTGAATGGCTATGTACCAAGCACTGGGCTAGACAATCCACACTTACCTTACTCTAGAATTAATTTAAGAGTCCCAGAAAAAAAGCTGCCACCTTAATGAAACTGCACATTACTTAGGGCCCCACCCTATCTAATGGTTCTCTGTGTAGAATTCATATTAATGAAGTTCTTATTAAATACTAGAGGCCCGGTGCCTGGATTCATGCACTGGTGGGGTCCCTCAGCCTGGCCTGCGCCCTCACAATCTGGGACCCCTTCAGGATGTTGGATAGCTGGTTTCGGCTTGATCCCCACAGGCCTGATCCAGACAGGAGAGCGCCTGATCCCCACAGGCCCGATCCCTGCAAACCTATCCAGACAGGAGGGAGACCAACCCTGTGCATTGAGCATCTGTACCCTGGTGGTCAGTGTGCATCATAGTGACCGGTTGACTGGTCGTTTGGTTGCTTAGACTTTTATCTATCTATCTATCTATCTATCTATCTATCTATCTATCTATCTATCTATATTTTCCCCCTCTATGTTATAAGCATAGGCTAAATTGGTTGTACCTTTTAAAATATTCAACAGTTTCTATGGTCTTTCACAATCCACGGAAAGTTTTTAGGCAGTTTTAAGTTAAAATATAAAACACCAGATCAAGTTCATTTACGTTTGTTTGGGAGTTTAACAAAGTTTGCCTTATATTCACATGCAAAAACTAACATTACTGAAGGGAGTAGAGAAGCTTTGCGAAGAGCACTAAGACCAAGTACTTACAGCACTATAAATTTCACACCAGGAACATAGTATGCAGATTTATTATCAGTCAATGCAAGTATTTATAGGCATGAGCAATGACCTCACTAACAAGAACAAAGAACATGAATCCTTAGAACCCAGGTGCTGGGCAGGCAAACATTTGCAATGTCTACATCAGATCACACTTTCAAAGCTTTAAGGAGACAGAATTTAACTTGTGGTATATCCACACGCCTGCTCGCTTATGTGTCACAGAGGACAGACTGGTTAGTAGGGTATATGAGACTCAACCTGAATGTCCTGTGAGCAAAAGTCTCAACTCTTCATGCATTTCCTCTGGCCAGAGGAGTTGGCTTAGAACCTGGGGCAGGACCCACATGAACTAATAGCACAGCCTTCTCCCTACATCTGGGTCAGAGCTTCAAATCTATGTTTTACCATTTACCACTACTTTGAGGCTAAAACAGGCAAGCTACTTAATTTCTACTTAAAATTTGAGCCTCAATTTCTCATGTGTAAAACTGAGATAATTGCTACCTCCAATGGTGTTCTAGGAAATAACCTAAAGCTATGTGAAGTGCCCAGCAAAACATCTGGCAAGCTGAAGGACCCATATATATTGCCTCCCTCTCTCCCCTGACTCCTGAATTCTCTAAGCTACCACCTCCTATTTTTTTAAAAATTAAAATGTGTAGTTTAAAATACTACCTTTGAATATAATCATCCCTTTTCATACATGTGTAATCATATATATCTTTTTTAAAAATATTTTTTCCCTTACCATCTGCAGCAGTACAGCGAGAAGCCAGTTCCCATAGGACTAATCCCATGGCGTACATATCTATCCTCAAAAATGCATCCCTTTGGAAGTTTATAGCACCCTCTAATACCTCTGGAGCCATATATCTCCGGGTACCAACCTGAAAAAGACGTTGAAAGCAAATAGTACTCATTCATTAACTTTATGAACTAACATGTTATACTTTTGTTAAAAAGAATCAAAACCACATGTGGTCTAATATCAGATAAGGTAACTAAGTTATAACCACCAGACTACAAGGTCAAGCAGAATTTATTCCATTTCAAGTAATACAACAGCCAAGACACTCACTGGAAAGAGCAGAAGCATCCATCAGTAAGGTCGGATTAAACAAATGGAGCATAAGCAGCTCTTAAAAATATGAGATAAACCTACAGGCTAATCTAGAAAGATTTCCAAAAACACTACAGGATGAAAACATCAATGAACAAAGCGATATATACCAAAGTCTTTAATAAATATATCAACATCATGCAAGTATAGACTTAGAATTTTTTCCCTCTTCTGGAACTAATCATAAGAAACTGAACAATAATTGTGGGGGAAAGGATGAAAAAGAGAAAAAATATATAGTTTTAATGTATCTTTTTTTTAAGTCCTTTAAGGGTCTCTCTTTTTCTGTATTAAAAAATAATAAGTAAACAATACAAAATGTAAAAAGAATTAGCTAAAAAAAAAAAAAAGGTGAATAAACTTTTAAAAGTCTATTTGTACAAAATCTATGTGTTTATTTATTCATGACTTCTGTCTCAGAGGTCTTTGTCTTTCCCTAACAATTTGGTATTTCTTAGTAATGTAACAATGGTTACTAAGCTAGTACAGCTAGCTTTGCTTGGTGCTTGACAACATTCATAGATGGATATTTAAAAATCTGTGTGTTAGCTGGGTAGATACCAATCCACTTGAGCAGTGGATCTAGAAAATACTGGCATTTCCAAAAAGCTCCATTATAAAGTGACTGTGATTTCTGGACTATAATTGCACAATTATCTGCAAATATACTGATAATAAGAACAGATTACTAAGAGCCTAAAGTTCAAGTTTTTAATTCATTTAATAAGGAGAATACTTTAGAGAAAAAGAAAACTTAATATTTTTTCTACTTCAAGTAACTATTTCAATGGTACAATTGTGTAATATATAAAATGTATAACAACATGCATTTTTCTATTTTCTGGTCCTGAAATGTAAAGTCAAGGAACAACTGATATAAGTAGTTATTTGTTAATCTCATCATGTAACCCAACTATGAGGGTATTAAGAGATATGAATGAGTTCCACATTCTTTTCTTTAAAAACAAAACAAAACAAAACAAAACATAAAAACAGGAAATAGGGGGGTTATAAGATATAAAGGAATAAACTATTCACCAAACTTAGTCTTATGATAATCGACCATACAATAAGCTCAGGTGTTTAAATCTTCGGTTGCCTGCACAATCTCCCTCTCAGTAACTTAATTCACAAAACTGTCTTTGTTTCCAAATACATTTGGTGTCAGTCTTTCGAGAACTACCCTGTTTCCCGGAAAATAAGACAGTGTCTTATATTAATTTTTGCTCCCAAAGATGCGCTGGGTCTTATTTTCAGGGGATGTCTTATTTTTCCATGCACTAGGTCTTATTTTCGGAGGATGTCTTATTTTCGGGGAAACACAGGTATGACTCCAAACTAAATTCTTAAATCATTAGTTACTGCCAAAATGTGTTATGCTGTGGTTATTTGAAAACTGTGTTCTTGGAAATTAATAGGATATGGTGGGGGGAAAGAAAACTGAGAATTAGATGTTCAAATAATTTGCATAATTTAAAAGATGAAGAAATAATCATACCAGAGCCTAAGTCATTAGGCTTTGTAAAAAAAAAAATGTCACCTTTAAGGTCAAACTGGTTTTCCTGATTAAACGTTATCTTGCAGCCCTAACTGGTTTTTGCTCAGTGGATAGATGTCAACCTGCGGCCTGAAGGGTCCCAGGTTCGATTCCGGTCAAGGACATGTATCTTTGTTGCGAGGCAGCTCATCAATGTTTCTCTTCCATCAATGTTTCTAACTCTCTATCTCTCTCCCTTCCTTTAAAAAATCAGCAAAATATATTTAAAAAATAAAATACTTAAAAAAAAAAAAGTCATCTTGCAGGAATGACAATACCTTTGCTATTTTCTAGCCTCACAGGTTTTGAGAATAAAGTGTATGGATAATGTTCTTTTCCTGTGCCTTTTTTTTTTTTTTAATATATTTGATTTTTTACTGAGAGGAAGAGAGAGGGATAGAGTTAGAAACATCGATGAGAGAGAATCATCTATCAGCTGCCTCTTACACACCCCCTACTGGGAATGTGCCCGCAACCAAGGTTCATTCCCTTGACTGGAATCAAACCTGGGACCTTTCAGTCCGCAGGCTGATGCTCTATCCACTGAACCAAACCGGTTTCGGCTCCTTTGGCCTTCTTAAAGGTTCTCATTACGGAGATCTCTGTGTAGACCTTGACAAGAGGTAGGATCTTCACTCAAGGTTTTGTACAAGTGTCCTGAAATGTGGAGAGAATTCAGAGAAAGGCTATAGAGCTGATTAAAGAGTTGAGGAAAGAATAAAGACCAAAAAGCAAGAAATTATAATTGTCTGAAAAATGGGCAGATCTTAATGCAATGTAGCGTGAATAGTGGCCAAATATTCTTCCATTCGCTCTTAAGGTAGTGAAAGAATTAAATTAAAACTGAGTTAATAATAAGAATTCCCTCAGAATGTGTCTATTAAAATGTGTTTGATTCTTCTTTGATTAGTTTTTAAAATAGAATCCCATGACATCTGTCTAGGCTATTTTTATGAAATGCTTGTTCTAAACCACTTGAGGTCCTGACAATCCTTCACCATCCTATGAAGATGTCCTCCTTAGCAAATTTAACATGATACTCTTAAGAGAGCTATTTTATATTAGATCTCGATTTAATAACCACCACAATAATTTCAGACCAATTCAACCCAGATATGCCATACTAAGAAAATATGAGACAAGATTTTTTTCTTACAGTTTATACTGATAATGCTTACCTGTCCATGAGTATCACCTGCAGACTTGCCAGCCTCAAACTTTAACGCCAGCCCAAAGTCAGCAATACAGGCTGTCAGATTGTTTTTCAACAGCACATTTTTACTTTTGATGTCCCTTTTAAATAGAAAGATGGACAAATTACTCAAATTAAGTTTTAATAAGGTACATCTTGTAAAAATTTTCACTGAAAGTGCAGAGAGACTAAGTATGCAATAAAAGAATAGTTTCTGGAAAATATGAAATTTAAAAAAAAGGGGGGGGAGGGGGAGAGGGAGAAAAAGCTTAAGCAAAGTGTCTATATAGCTGAAGCACAATAAAGAGTACAGGGACAAAGCCTATTTATAACATGGACAATAAGAAGGAATTCTTTCCATAACACATTTTTATAAAGAAGTGCCATTCCAAATATATTATCCAGCCTACATGTTATCTATGCCATTCCTACCTATCAATCATAAAATTGCTGTTTTCTAAGATAATGAAAACACATCAGAGTTTATTGTTAGAAACTCCCATTGAAACAGAACATTAAATTTAAGAATTTTCAAAGAATAGCTTAATGGGGGCCTTCTGCCTATTTGTACAGGCCTACATTTTAGAATGGTCCCTTATTTTAGTGGTTCTTACATTCATCAACCTGGTTGCAGACAAGCACCTACAGGAATGTGTAACAGATAAAAAGTTTGCACTAAGAACATATCCTGCTCCAGTTAGACCCTGGTGTTCTGAAAAGAGTAATTGTTTTTTAAGGCAATCAGATGTCCTCTACACACCAGCCTCAACTGGTTCATCCTAGGAATACTGCACCTGAGCTGAATACATCTGTGACATGAGCAATGGTTAAGTTTATGTGTACAGAGACCAAGAGTGGGATAGAGGAGACTCAGGGAGACACCAATCAGTTTTAGACTCAAACATTTTTATGGATGCTACTCCTTATAACCTTTGGGAGAGGAAAGTTCATTCAGTTCCCTGTGAGGTGAGTAAAATCCAGGAAGAGACAGACTGAGCAGAGGAAGGTGAGAAGGGGAGTTTTTTCTGAGGTGGAAGTTTGCAAAATCAGAATCTATGTTACAGTTGGGTTTAAAGGAATGCCTAAAACACCATCTGGTGCCACTCAACTAAATATTTGTTAAATGCACCAGTTCATACCCAATTTTAAAGCAACCATTTTAAACTGAATGCCAAAAGACAAATTGTTCTCATGTTCAAGGAAGTTAAATACAAATGACAAACTGAATCCTATGTTTAAGGAAACTAATGTTTTCCCTTTTAAGAAAATAACTTTTTTGTCCAAGTACTATTTCTTCCCTCGAAAAGGCAACTGAGTAAAACCAATTGTTCTGATGATGCCTCCTTTCACCTCGGCTCAAGAAATAATCATTCAAAATGAAAGCAATAAAAACAAGGACAGTCCTTAGTTATATCCCCCTTTTACTTATTTATAATCATCTTCAAAGTCAATCATGTTTTGAGGTTAAACAAATTTACCTATTGATTCAGAGAAAATACACTTTTATTCTTAACCATGCTTTCAAGAATAAGACTAATTAAAACATAAATGAATAATAAAGCTAGTGATTAACAATTAAGCTAATGGCCGAAACCGAATTGGCTCAGTGGTAGAGCATCTGTCTGTGGACTGAAAGGTCCTGTGTTCGATTCCGGTCAAGGGCATGTACCTTGGTTGCGGGCACATCCCCAGTAGGAGGTGTGCAAGAGGCAGCTGGTCGATGTTTCTCTCTCATCGACGTTTCTAGCTCTCTATCTCTCTCCTTTCCTCTCTGTAAAAAATCAATAAAAATATATATTTTAAAAAAACAAACAATTAAGCTAATGATGTTAATAAATACATTACCCAAATTACTTCCTGGCCAATCTCAAAATTAATTTGAAAAACAAATGAAATCATTCTGCCTTCTATAGCATAACTAGATAACTAGGGAAAAAATAAATTTTGTTCAGGGGATTAAAAGCTTAAGTAATAAACAAATACTGAATTACTTGGGAAAATAATATCATTTTAGCTCTACCTGTGAGAAATGGCGGGTTTGTGGCCATCTTTTAGGCCAGGTATATCCTCATGTAAATATGCCAATCCTCTAGCCATAGTTTCGGCAATATGACACAATTCATTCCAAGAGACCACATTAGCTTTAAGGAAGTCTGACAGTGAACCCTAAAGAAAGGGGAAAAAAACACAACTTAAGTTCTTGACAAAAGCCGTATGTATATGGAGACTTTCCTTTTTACTTTTAAGAGGTTATGGAAGACAATATATTTTTCTTTTGGTGAATAATAATACCGCAAAACTGATTTACAGTATCTGGAATGGTTCAAGTTTCACATTAATAAATATTTGACTAGAAAAAAAAATACCACTCATCCTTAAAAGTTTGCTACAAGCACAGGCAGTCAGTCAGTTTCCCCCTATTTAGAAGGAGAGAAAAAAAAACAAAAAGTCTAGTTTCAGAAACTATTTAATGACTATAGAGATGTTATATTCAGAGGACTAGGAGAACATAAAATTAAGACACATAAACAACAACAAACCTAAAGAATCCTCTCAGGCCGAAACCGGTTTGGCTCAGTGGTAGAGCATCGGTCTGCGGACTGAAAGGTTCCAGGTTTGATTCCGGTCAAGGGCATGTACATTGGTTGCGGACACATCCCCGGTAAGGGGTGTGCAGGAGGCAGCTGGTTGATGCTTCTCTCTCATCGACGTTTCTAGCTCTCTATCTCTCTCCCTTCCTCCTCTCTGTAAAATATATCAATAAAATATATTTTTTTTAAAAAAAGAATCCTCTCAGAATTATTGCTATCTTTTTGGTTAAGAATTAAGAGAAGTTAAAGAGTCACTTATATCTGAATCTGACAGTAATAAACCTGACTGCCAAGGAGAACACAATTCTTATATCATTAATGTACATTTTCATACTAACTCTGAAAGTAGAAAAAATTAGTGGGCTTTGGTAATAATTACCCTACAAATGAGTGACAAAGACCAGGTAAATTTCCTAATTCTTAGTTTTGTCACTAAGCTACACTGAGCAAAGTTTTAAGAAACAAATTCAAGCTGAAAAAAAATATGGTTCACATAATCAAAATGGATGGTAAATTTACTAAGTATCCATTATAAGAAAAGCCTAATATGGTAAGTGTCTTACTGCCATTCAACCAAAGCTTAATATGCTAATGATATGCTAAGGCTGTTCAACTACTCGCTATGATATGCACTACCACCAGGGGGCAGACAGTCAACAGGTTGACCAATCGCTATGATGTGCAATGTGTAATGACCACAGGGGGTAGACACTCCAACCAGTATGTTAGCTGGCTGCTGAGGTCCAGCCAATTGGGACTCAGTGAGACAGGCCAGACATGCCCTGGGGTCCTCCTACAGCCAACCTCCCACATCCCTCCCCAGTCCCAATCATGCACTAGTGGGGTCCCTCGACCTGGCCTGTGCCCTCTCGCAATCCAGGACACCTCAGGGATGTCAGAAAGCCCGATCCCGCAGGCCAGGCCAAGGGACTCCACTGGTGCACGAACCTTTAGTACTAAAAAAATTATTTGTAAGAGAGGTAATTGCAGCACAAGATATCAGGGATAAAAGACTGGTTAACTAGAGAGTTAGATAAAAGAGTTGCTATCTTAGAATATACTACTCCCAGAAAAATTAATCTGAGGAATTTGTAGCCAACATTAGATAGGTAAACCAACCCTGACTTTACTGAGTTAAAACAGAAAGTAATTTTACCTTTTCATGAAATGCTGTGATTAGCCAAAGATCCACATCAACACTGGTGCCCCGTTTTTCTGCACCAATGAACTGTAATATATTCTCATGCTTCATTCCAGGCAAACTGTAGACTTCATATTCATTTTGCCATGATTGTTTGTCCTACGGTCAAAAAGAAAGAATAGTAAGAGTGCAAAGAATAGAGGCAATAAACCATATCTTAAAAAAAAAAAAAGTTACTCAAGTTCTAAGGCAAAAAATTAAAAATAAACATAACTATTAAAAGATTCACCAGTATTGATTTTTAATAAAATCACACTCTAACAACAGGTAAGAGTTCCATACCAAATGTCTGCCCTCCCCTAGTCCCTCAAAACATACTTTTCTGTGTTTCCAGTTTGTAAACACAGGAGTTGCTCAGAAGTGCTCAACTTCAGTATCTAACCTTGGACACATTCTGCTTACAAGTTAGCACTACAGTGTAATTTCAACATGGTGTGAAGTTACTTGTGTTACTATTCAGAATAATCTCCCTGGGAGATGAAATTCAGGTAGAAAGACTTCATCTAATTAGGAAAAAATATTTTAAAGAGTCTCTATATATAAAAGCCTAATATATCTGACTAGTCAACCATTCAACCAGTCACTATGACACACACTGACCACAAGGAGATAGATGCTCTGATTGGTAAGTTAGCTTGCTGCTGGGGTCCGGCCAATTGGGACTGGGCGAGACAGCCCCAACTGATCCTGAACAGGACTGAGCAAGATGGCTGGACACACCCTGGAGCCCTCCCCGGCCGCGAACGTGCACCTGTAGGGTCCCTCAGCCTGGCATGCGCCCTCTTGCAATCAAGGACCACTCAGGGGATGTCAGAGAGCTGGTTTTGGCCCTAACCCCGTAGACCAGGCCAACAAACCCCACTGGTGCACGAATCCATACACTGGCCATGAACTTTGTGAACTTTGTGTGTGTGTGTGGGGGGGGGGGGTGGCCCTTCAGCATGGCCTGCACCCTCTCGCAGTCCAGGAGCCCTCAGGGGATGTCCAACTGCACGGAGGTGGGTGGGAGAAGCTCCTGCCATTGCTGCTGTGCTCGCCACCTGTGAGCTCAGCTTCTGGCTGAGTGGCACTCCCCCTGTGATCAGTGTGCATCATAGCAAATGGACATTCCACTGTTCTGTTGCTTTGCATATTACCCTTTTATTATATAGGATTCTTAACAAAATGCTTCTGATATCACATAAAGCCAACAAGAGAACAATGGAGTATACTTGTGCAATACAATAATTTAAAATACAATATTCCCATTTGTGCCTGCAAGTGATCCATGTCCCCTACATATCAAATTATGAAATATTTAGTTTCCATCCACAATGAAAGGATAATAAAAGATGGAGGCATGGCTGCATAATAGTTAGGGACCCTCTGGATCCAAACTATCTGAGACCTTTGGCAAGTTATTGATAATAACCATTAGCAAAATGAGGACTGTGCACAGGTCGGTAAAGGGAGGGCCCTCAGCAGGACCTGTGCCCTCTTACAATCCAGGACCCCTCAGGGGATGTCAGGCCTAAACCAGCAGTCAGACATCCCTCTCGCAATCTGGGACGCTGCATGCACCAGTGACCATACTTTTAATAGAGGTGAGAGGCATCTTGCTGTTGTGTGGGCAGCTACATTTTTTTGCCTTGGTTATAAAAAGTAGTACGTAACATGATCCTTCTGAGGCGGTGATACCATTTCCCCCATCTTATGGGTGAAAAACTGAAGCAGAGAGAAGTTAAGTAATTGGCTTTGTCACACAGTTATAAGTGTCAGAATCAAGTCTGACCACAAAATGTGTAAGCCAGAGTCCATGCACATCATCACTGCATCATCCTGTTGTTTCAGTGTTAAGAGTAGCCTTGCCAGGTTTTAATTTTTAAATCTAAGAGCCTGTTCCCGATATATAGGGTAGGGTCCCTAGGCCTGGCTGGCGATCAGGGCCATCTGTGGGGCAACTAGTGGCGCGATGGGGGGAGGAGGGGAGGGCCTACTGGCACCTCCCTTGGCTGGCAGCCTGGCAATGCCAGCTCGCCGGCCAGCCTCATCCCCCAATTCCCCTGCTGCCCACTCACCAGCCCCATCTCCCTGCCACCACTGGTGGGGCGATTGGGGAGTAGAGCCACCCGCTTGCTGGCAGGCCCCGCCCACCAGTCACACCGCTGCCACTGGTCGCCTCTCTCTGCCTGCAGGCACCTGCCTTGATTGGCCTGGCACTGCCCACTCGCCGGCCCCTCCTACCCCTGACAGGTCATTCCACAGGTCATTCTGCCACTCGGTCAATTTTCATATTAGGGTTTAATATAAATAGATATGTATATTGTGTGTTGTATTATATGTATGGATAATAGATGGACTCATATTAGTACTCATATAAGTAAAACACCTCTACCTGACACAATAGAAGCATCAAATAAAATGTTATCTACTATTATTATTAATCTTACATTAATATCACCCAAATATTTGTGAATCTTGGCACAACAGAACAGACTTTTCCTCTGAGAACTAAACTATATAGTATCTGCAATTCTACCAAAAAAAAAAAATAGTAATAAACTTTTGCATAGACTCTAAGAAATAGGCTTTAGAAGAGTCAAAAAGGGTAAAATCCAGATATATTACAATGAAGAACTTGATTATATTGTAACTTTGGAATAAGGAAGATCTACTGTCTAGGTACAGTGGTGAAGCCAGCATCATCCAACCCAGCCAGGATTGCAATACATGCATGGCTTTAGCCACAGGGGTGTAGACATGAGAGAAAGGGAAAATGAATCATCACAGATCTATACCACAGTCATTCTCAATGGAACAAAACAAAACAGAAGATAGCTTAGGGGTGCATTAGATCAGGGTTTTATGAGGTCAATTCCTTTAAAAAAAATTTTTTTTTCAACAGTAAACCAATTATTTACAGTGTAAACTGCCTCTGAAAATTCAACAAGCAATATCAGAAGCTATTAACACTCAGAATAGAACAAAAATGAGTAATTTTGATAACATACTTCCAAACAGCAATTCTGAAACAAAGCACATTACTCTCATTCTCTGTTTGCTTTTTTTTTTTTTCTGATTATGTCAATGGTATATTAAAAGTTAACCACCTAGACATTAATTAAATTTTTTTAGAATCTTCATCTTTACTTTGCATTTCTTTAAAATTTTTAGTGGCAAAAGATCTCCTATACGTTTACTTTAATTTCACCACTCCAAAAAAACATCATGACTAGTGTCCCATTAACTCCATTTCTCAGATGAGAAGGCAGACTTAACCAGGCGGACCGCTTTCCCTGGTACCACAAGAACCACCTTGAAACATATGGCTTATATTTTCAAACTGGAGTTACAAAGACCAAGCCAGTTGCAACCTTTTAAAAGTATTTGTGCAGATCAGGAAACTATAATAAGCATACCTGTATTGGAAATATTTTCACAGCTACATATTCATTGAGCAACTGGGCTTTCCAGACACAACCAAATCTTCCCCTTGCTTTCACTTCTAGTAACTGCAGTGGCTTCAAACCTAGTAATGGAGAAGGTGGGGGTGGTCCTGGGTCCTATAGATAAATAACAATAATAATATTAAAAAGCAGCACTTCATACTTATCTCTCTAAATGTGAGGGGGAAAGTTGAGTAGACTGAGGAATCAATTGACAGAAACGGTAAACACATACAAATGGCATTAGCTTCAATCTTGCCCAAACTGAGTTCTCAAGCATTCCTAATTATCTATAGTAATCACAAGGCAAGCAACTTGAATTGAGAGCTCTCAGAAGAATATTCGGCAGTGCTGCTATCTATCTATAGTGGAGAAAAGATCTAACCATCTTTCTGAGGCACTGTCACTGATTTTCCTGGCTAAGACTTTCTGCGGCCTCTGGGATAGCTCTAGTATTTCAATGGTTTCACCCAGATTGATACTTCTTTACAGAATGAGGATTCAAAAAGTATCCGAAACAGCAAGTTATGGCTGTGTCTCAAAGAAAACTTGTCCTCAAAATCCACTTCTTTCCCCAATTGCTCTTTAAAATGTTTCTTCAATTAATCTCAGAAATACCCACAGTGAATCTCAAATAAGCATATAAAAGAAATGTCAGTTAACGTTGCTATAACCCAACTGTTCCATCCATTCTAATGTTTCAACCTATTAACAATTCACCTTTTGCTTATAATTATTTCCCAAAATTGATCTGAGATAAAAATTATTAGTGTTCTGAGACTGACTGTCAAAGGAAGTACAAATAATAATCAAGAAAGTGAGTGGTCATCCTGGTAGGTGATACAGACTTTAGGCAAAAGAAAGAAAAGTGAGTGTACCGCTTTAGTTAACTTTTTAAAATGGAGTAAATACAAATAGGAATATAGCATTTACAAAGGATAAGGGAATCCTCCCTACACAGACTGGAGTAGCAACCCTTCACTGAAAGTATATCAGCTCAATATCTGCAAGGGGAAAAAAAAAGATATACTAGGAAGCCTTTTGGAAAGTTTCCAGAAGAAAAAAAAAAAGTAATAAAAGTATTTGAAGGGCTGCATAATGAGTATTATAGGGAGCAACTAAAATTTCTGTGACTGCAGCAACAGACATTATGACATGGTGGCATGGAAGACACGTGGAAATGGTATGTCACCCCTATACTGATGCACCGCTCTCTGCCTCCTCCCTTTGCGTAAAAAGAAAAGATCTCCTCTTTCATGCCTCAAGACTGTTAGTGCTCCCTTCAGGCATTATTCAGCCCACCAGTGCCACTAGAGATTTTAAAACGTTAGCCTCTCATTAGAAGGACACTTAAGAATAGAAACTCTGCAAGGTATTAAAAAGAAAAAAACAAACAAACATGTAATTTCAACTAAAGTAGACAATCTTTTACAAAACAATTTCAGAATTTTTATGTTTTAAAACAGTAAGATAACTACAAGACTTCCTGTGACTCATTTCAACCACAGGTATTTATTTTTTAAAATGTCTATAGAAGTTGTTTTTCCATCACATATTCAAAACATGAAAGTTAGCAAAGCTGAAGAGTATTTTTATTTAACAGGGATGAATCCAGGAAGTCAGATATAAATCTCATAGACGTATGCCCCTAAAGTTAATATCTTCAGTAGGAGAGGACACCAGGATCTCTGGAAAGGTTTTAGTAAAACTTAACCCTCCCTATCTCATTCTCTGATTGCTCATTTAAACTCTTAGCTTCTACTGCTAAGAGTTTGTTACTTATGGGAATGTGGAGTCAGGAAGGGGAAAAAAAAGTTGAAAACGACTCTTCTAGAGGCAAAGAACTCAGTGCTGAAAATCCAAGAATTATTGGATAAATGCATAAAAGAAAATTTATGCTAACTAACTGAACAAGTTCCATTTGAAAAACTAAAGTAACTAAAAAATTAATGTCAATGATTTCCCCTCTAGAGGTAAATTAGAAAACTTGAATTTTCAAAGTTGGGATGCCAAAAACTAAAAACTACGGATAAGGGCTGAAAGCTGAAGGAAAAAATAACCAGATAAAGGGTAACATGGCTCTAAATTTAAACACTATGATTTTTAATAACTTATATATAAATTAATTGATAATGTCTCTGGATAACATACATTGCTCATTCTCAGTTCTAGAGTACAAACTACCTGGAAATGATGTCAATAAAACAGGATTTAGATTACTTAATTCACAAATCAAATTAAGAATATGTCGGCAGTTCAAAACATGTTTTAACAGAATATTAATCTTAATTTTAGGAAACATAATAAATTTTAATGTCTATGCTTAGAAAAAAAATAACTGAGTGTTTTCCAAATGAAAGATAAACTTCAGAGTTCCCAGGTTTCCAAGGCTCTGTTTAACAAGTTTCTAAGCTTCCATCATTTCATTGAGAAATCTTAGATAATTCTTGTAATGATATTACCATTATATCATAGCCTGAAAAAACAACCATTGTCAAAATTATTTATAAGTAAAAAGCTTAAAAAAGAACACTGGCCAGTTTTCAAAGGAGGATAAAAACTCTTCAAAAGTACATTCCTATAGAGCATCAATAAGAAATATTGTTTATAAATAACATCCTATAATACTTAAAAGGCTGGGTTAAAAAACTAGTAACTATATTAGGTATCACTATTTGAAATCTATAACATCAATCAATCAACATATATTTTCCTTTTTCAATGAAAAATCAGTAGAATGTCCTTCTATTTCATACTTTTAAGTTCTTTATTAAGCTTTAACTGAATCTCTAATATTTAACTTTTACTTATTCTGTAATCCAAGATTATAAGAGATTTTTAGTTTATTAACATCATTATACTAATTTACTCACACAAAAAACAATGTTCTATTCTAAAATAAATATTTATACCTTTAAAGTATATGAATACCTGGGAAGACTAATTCAGACTTAAACTTCAAAATGATAGCAACTTTTGTAATGTTATCCGTAAAATAGGGATTTGCCCTGCCATGCAGAAAAACTACTTTCAGGTGGGAGCAGCTATGAGGACTGCAGAATTCCTAAAAAATCTCCCTAATTCTCTGGTTCTTTTGCAGTATCCATACTGAAAGATACGCATTAGAACATGGCTCTGATTGCATCCCTTCTTTACCCATTTATATGTGAAAATTATGGCATTGTGAGACATTATATTATGAAGCAACAAATGACTACAGCTGGAAAAAGTGCCTCCCACCCAACACAATAACACTGCTATAACCAATACCTGAATACATTGTTCAAAGTAAGAACTGCAAAGAAGTGATCATTTTACTTAATCTGAATTCTCCAGATGAAGGCTGAACTCTAATTAAAGTATTAGACTACCACACAACAAAAAATCAGATTTCACTTCACTAGCTAGTCCATTTGCTAAAGATGACAAAGATGAAAGAAACTACCTGAAAATAAAGATTTCACATTAAAAGATAATGGATTCAATCAGAAAGTCAGCCCCTGTCAAAGGTGAGGACATGCTAACATTTAAGCTAATGATGTTATATAAAAATTAACCAATACAAAGATTTTAAGACTAAAAATCTTGCCATTAGGTATTAACTTCCAAACAACTAAAACAGTTGTGTCTACATGTCACTTCAGATAAGTATAAATATTGTTAACAATCCATTAAAACCAAAAACTATTACTATAGCAAATCAATCATGTTTTCAATACTAAAAGTAGGGGGGGAAAACTTCATAACATAAATGTATAAACTAAAAGGATGCACAATAAAGCAATAACAAATAATCTAAGAACAAAATGTTTAGTATGCATCCACAAAAAAGTTCCACAACCATAAAACAAACATTAATGCATCTTACCTCTATCATTATATGAAAGGCGTGCTTGTGAAGAAAAAACACAGGCAAAAGAAATTACGATTTATATCCAGAATGAAATGAAAAATGACATATCAGTTATAAAAGTGAAGGAAGAAGGATAATGATTTAGCTTTTTAAAAATTGGCAATGATCCACTGTATAATATTCTAAAATGAGACTTGAGAACACTTTCCTTATAAAACAAAGGAAAGTAATATTTAAAAAAACAAACTGGGACATTACCTATCAGACATTACCTATCAGATAGATGACTCTTGTATAACCCCGAGTTACCTGATTGAATAGACTTCAAGCCAGAAAATAAACTAAACCGAATCTTAAATAACTGTTACTTATTTTTCTAAAAAGTTAGAGTGTCTTAACTATAAGAATACAAAAAGTAATTTGAGAAGAAATGCATGGAATTGACTTCTGGACACCAGAGGGCAGTATTGCCTTTAACAACATTTATAGGAGCAGCACTATTTAGCTCAGACCACACTCTGACAGTTATCTTCAGAATCTCTAGAATCTCTTACTTCCTTAACTGCTGCACATCCCTTTCATTGAAGGCAGTAGAAGCATAACAGTGAGACAGAAAACTGTTTCCTGTGCCAATGTGAATGTGTGCAACAACACACTAGGGTAAAAAAAAGAAGAAAAGGGAACACAAAGAATCAGAATTAAATAGAAAGAGTGACAGACCAGGCCTACTATTATTCTACTTCCCTAGCCACAGCAACAGTAAAGAATTCAAGCAGTGGTGGGAGAGAGAGAACAAGTATCCATACATACTTTTCAATCTGAGGACACTCATAGAGAACAAGATTTTCAATGCCTTAGTCATCACAAAATAGGTAAGGGCCCAAATTTAAAATTAAGAGAAATACTGTCACCAGTGTAAAGGAAGGCTATGAATCCCTCCAATCACTGATCATATTATCCAGTTTCCAATATTTCTACAGAGAAAAATAGGAACAACAAAAATATCTGACAGCTCATTTATCTAAACCAGTTGCTTAACTAGATTTCTGCCTTTTTTTAAAAAAAATGTATTTTATTGATTTTTTTTACAGAGAGGAAGGGAGAGAGCTAGAAACATCGATGAGAGAGAAACATTGACCTGCTGTTTCTTGCACACTTCCTACTGGGGATGTGCCCGCAACCAATGTACATGCCCTTGACCAGAATCGAACCTGGGACCTTTCAATCCGCAGACCGACGCTCTATCCACTGAGCCAAACTGGTT